CCTCGTCCGCCTCCCAACCTCCTCCACTCCCCCCCCCCCGGGAACCCCTCGTCCGCTCCCAACTCACCCCCACCGGGAACCCTGTCCGCTCCCAACTCTCACCCCCCCCGCCCCGAACCCTGTCCGCTCCCAACTCACACACACACGCCGGGCCCCGCCCCGCCGCCCGTTACCTGGATACCGTGCACGATGTAGACCTTCTCCGCCTCGCTCAGCACCACGGACGCCATGCTGCGCGCCGGGTTCCAAACACTACTCCGGCCGCCGCCCGGTGATGCCGTCACCAAAACGCGACGAAGCTAACTCCCGCGACATTTCCTTTCCCTCCTCCATCCGCACATACTTACGTCATCCGCGTTGTGAGGTTCGACGGGCGCGCGAGCACCGCCTCCCCTGCCCCCCGCCCTGTGTGGGTGACTCTGAGTCACGGGCTGGTTGGTGCGCGTGTTACGGAGAGAGAGCGGCTGGGCAGCTCCCAGCGTGTGACAACCCGGGGGGAGGGGCTGGGAATAGGGTGACCAGATGTCCTGATTTTATAGGGACAGTCCTGATTTTTGGGTCTTTTTCTTATATAGGCTCCTATTACCCCCCACCTCCGTCCCGATTTTTCACACTTGCTGTCTGGTCACCCTAGCTGGGAAGAAATGTTCCCACGTGGGAATAGAGGTACAGACAGGAGCCCCGGATCCCTTGAGTGAACGCGCTACGTGTGTGCATGTGAGTCCTTGCCTGTGAGCCTGCAGGAGTGCTGCGCTGTGCGTGTCTTGGGCATCGTTTGCATGCATTGGGCCTGGATGTGCATTGTGCATCCTGCGGGCAAGGTGTCACCTCAAAGGCACTTCTCTGTGGAGTTCCAAATCCGTTCTGTGTTATAAAGACATGGAAATAGATGAAAACTCTCAAGAAAGGACTGAAATGTTAACTGACAAAACACTGAGTGGTGGACTGAGTTCTGTGGTATGTCTGTCCTTATTTTTTCCCATGGTTACACAGTGTCACGCAGTAAATTGCAAATCTTCAACAGATAGTGCATATAAAAACTATGTTAAATTGCACAGTCAGGCTGTCAAAAGTTAGGAAATGTCAGAGCTAAGGTTACCTGTGCAACTAGGGTTGCCAGCCCTCCAGGATTGTTCTAGAGTCTCCAGGAATTAAAGATTAATCTTTAATTAAAGATTATGTCATGTGATGAAACTTCCAGGAAAACAACCAAAATTGGCAACCCTATGTGCAATGTTAATTTGCCCTCTCTTGTGTGTCTGCATTATGACAGTCTTTAATTACACAACATACTATTTTCCCCAAAGGATGGAAAGTCCTCAATGAGTGTTTTAATATTTTGTTTTTTCCTTATAATTCAGTGTGTGGCCCCATGCCTTATTTAATGCATGCCAGTCAATTTTATGTCCCTGCTCCAAAACAAGGGGGTACCTGAGCTGAGCTTCTCAAATAACAGGTTGCCAGAATTTTTTAAGATGGGCAAAGCAACATATATTTCTTTAACTTTGTTTCTCTGGCATGTAAAATTCTGCCCCAAACAGTTAAAGTTTGACAAAGTTACAAGCAACTGAAAACAGGGTCAAATAATAGAAAGTGTCTGGCAGCCTTAATAATGGGCTGTGCTACCTGCCCAAACAATAAGGAGTGAGTCAATGAAAGTGATTATATTTCCAGCTATATTCTGTCATGTTTTACTAGAGCACTTTGGACACTCACAAGCCACTTGGCCTGGCCTAAGCTGTAAACCCAAAAGTGCTGAGCACCTGCAACTCTCGTTGCATTCTCACCTATATATGTAGTGACTAGTGTGTACCTATATACACACTCATCTCCAGTATGTGAATACACAAGGTGGATGTAGCACACATCTTTATGTGCATGTTATGAAAAATGTGTGTGTAACATATAGACCAGGTGAGGTAATATCTTTTATTGGACCAACTTCTGTTGGTGAAAGAGAGAAGCTTTTGAGCTTATATACACATATGCTATTCTTTTTGTTATTGTTTTCCAGTATCACTGAAAGACCCCAAATCTGGGATCAGATCCCCACTGTGATCTGCACCAAAGAAACATCATAGGCCCTGTCCCAAACATTTTGCAGTTTAAATAAACAAAACAGAAGAAGATGGAAGAGGTTGTAACATATAAGCAGAACAATCCAGGTATTGGGTGGGAAATGTCAGGTTATATATATACCATAAATGTAATGTGTGCACATATAGACGCGTATGCATCCTGCACCAGTGAGGTCAGTGGCACCAGCAGCAAGCCCTGTGTGTGTGGATACAGCAGATGCTTAGCGAGTGAACAGAAACAGTTGTACGAAGGCAATGCATTGCAATTCATTGCGTGCCAGGGCTTCCCTCAATAGCGGGACCACAGTACGTGCTTTGCTCAGTCAGTGTGGGAGGGACCAGGTCCCGAGGAGGAGATGACGCTGTGCCGAGGAAGTGAAGGGAGGGGGCGTGACACTTCTCCGCGCTGCTCACTTCCTGGTCTCTCTCCCTCCCAGTAGGACTAGGGGCAGCTCGGGTAGCCACTGACGCCTCCTGCTGCAGTAGCAGCCCCGGGGCGTCGCGCGCTTGGCGTCCCGGGCTCGCGAGGCGAATGGAACGTTGCGTTGGGCGACGGAACGTTGACCCGGGTGGCGGCGAGGTGCTGAGCTCGCGCTCGCTGAGCGGGGGTGGCGGCGGCAGCGGGCGGGCTGGACCAGCAGCAGCTGCGGGGACCGGCGGCGACGGCTTCTTATGCGGGTAGGTTGCTCCCCGCGGCTCGCGATGGGTAGCCGGGCAGCGGGCGGACCTGCAGCGGCCGCACACACCTAGCCAGGGGCCGGCAGCAGCCGCACCCCCTCTGCAGGGAGATGCGGGCGGGCGAGCGACAGGCGGGTCAGGAAGCTCGAGGTGGAGCTTGGTATTGTCTCGTGCAAGGGTGAGCAGTGTGCTCCTGCAAGGTGAAGCCGCTGTCCCCAAGGGCAGGTGTGGCTCGTGCCGTGCAACGCCTGAGCTCCAGTGGGATCCCTGTCCGCTTGGCTTGGGAGATGTAGCTGCAAGGGGATGGGGGGGCTGAAGAAGTGAGTCAATGCACAGGCTGCTGGGGAGAGACAAATCTTGGGGAGCATATGGCTAAGAAGGATGCAAAACAAACAAGGTCTCCCCCAAGTGCTCCATGCACATCGAGGGTCCCTTCTACCCATAATGATAGTCTTTTTGGCGTATGTTTAGGGCATATAAAGAACTCCCACAGGCGGCCAGGAGCCTATTTCCACACTCTTTGGGGTCCTCAAACGTCTACAGAAGTCCTTGGAAATGGGAAGTTGGGGTGTGTTCAAACAGCACAGGATCAGGCCCCAACATATCATTTACTAGAGCTGTTTCTGCCAAGGGAACATGCATTTGGGTTCTGCACCAGTATAATATTTTCACATTGGCACTGTTTAAAAGGTAAATCCCATGCAGCAGCCCTGGAAGATCTCTTTTTAAATAGACTTTTAACTATTTTTTAAAAGTTTATTTTACTTCATTTAGGCCTTCAGCATCCCAGCACTGTTTGTGTTACTGAACAATGCTGTTCAAAACATTATATAAACGCATCCTTTAATGAGGTGCCATGGGATTTAAATTCTGCAGCCTCGACAGTTGGACAGTGTCCTGGCAACCTAGAATTGAATTAAAATAAAGAAGTTTGAATGCTGGTGAGGTCTTTAACAAGTATTTGAACAGTTAAAAGTGCACTCATCTGAAAAGTGCTTGGTACATCATTTGATGTTTAATTGGAGCTTATAACAGCATACTACTGTATAAAAGCTATGATCTCTAGTTTTATGTATAAGCCATTCTAAAACTATGATGCTATAAGACAGTGGCTCTCAACCTTTCCAGACTACTGTACCCCTTTTAGAGTGACTAGATGT